TGCTTTTCCTGTTAAACTCCCATTGCCTCAGTCCATGAGCCTTCCTGCCTTCCTTCTATTTTCTCCCATCCCATGGAAGAGGGGACTAGGCAAGGGGCTGGGTGGGTGCACAGCTGCTGGCCAGGGTCAACTGCAACACTCCGAGGGGACACAAGTGACCACCTTTTGCTGAACTGCTGTAGCCTGGGCACAGCGGGCTCTGCAGTGGTTGGTTAATAACAAGATACACCTGCAGAAACAGTCTAAGAGCCAATGTTAAGGTAGGGTATGAGGCATGAGCCTGTATAATCAAAATATATACTGTATCTGAACTCTTTCAAAAAGAAAAACATCTAGAAGAATGGAATAGAAGGAATGAATAGAATCATCTCCTCGAATTACATAGAAAGTTTGAAATATATATTTGATTCAACTGTGAAATTGATTTTGGATTAGGTAAAAATTCACATCCTACAATATATCTTTTGTTTTTAATTCATCAGAAAAATTCAATTTGGGCCAAAGATTTAACATGAAAAAATAGCATATTCTCTAAAAGTGTTTAAGAATAAAATCCTCACTTGAATGAAAAATTAAAGCTTAGTTTATACAAGGCCTGCACTGCAATAATATCACTTCATTCAATAGCACATTTTGAAGTCCCACATGAAGCACAACTTATCTTTCAACACCATAAAAAAACCCAAAACCATTTGAAAGCATCTTCAAATCAAATATAGTATCACACATAAATGAAATCTGTGTGTTAAATGCTCAGTTATGTATCTGTGTCTCACTACCTTATCAACGCTCACATACAAAGCTCATGGTCACGCCAATTACCGAGCTAGACGTAATTGCGCAGACAGAACCAAGGGTTAGGATTTCCAGCTTTAAACTCAGCCACCATAGAGCAGCTCATGGCATTTTTCTTCTAAGAACAAGCACTGACTTCTCTCACCATGCTTCTTTCAGTTAGAGATGGCACCAGCCAGTGAAAAAAATACTCAGAAAAAACACACAACAGATTTGAAAAATATATTTTAAGATATTTAGCCAGCAACAGGTAAAACTTTTACCAGTCACTCTTCTGCAGCCCACAGACCAAACTTCAGTTTTCAGTTACATCAACTCAATTACTAAAATCGAGTCAGAGGAACATTTAACACATAAGCAAATTATTAATCCTGTACTCAGCCCATTAAATTGCTTTTTTCCAATTCTATTTGTAACATGAATCAAATCACAGATGCACTTTTAAAATGTTGCTAACCTCTTCAGCGTTGTCATCTCTGCTGTCCAACAGGGAATGTTTTGAGGAAAACAGCTTCCATCGACAGGAATTCAACCCCATACTTGGTAAGGCTTCATTTGCATCACAGCAGTATGCACAAATCATGCTAGTGATACCAAAACTAGTTCATAATCCAAATTCTTAATGCTAAATTATTGAAAATAAAATATTTTTTCAAGTTATGCTACTGTTTTGTAACAGAAAATTATTTAGAAAAGTGAGGAACAACTGCCTCACATATTTTGAAATAAAATATTATCTCAGAAAGTTGAAGCTAGAAGAACACTTCTTACAGGTTTCTGAAAAGTTTCAACAGTGGAGCTTTAATTTGGTGCTCAAGAATGTATTTGAAAGTAATGAGGAAAGCAGTTCCTCACTGTTTGGCTGACTGAGGCCAAGGAATTTTGTCAAGTAATGTGTGGGGAAAAACTAAAGAGAATAATTAATGAGGCACCATTAGCATTTTAAAACTGTCTACTAGAAAAATTTAAAGGTTTTAAGAAAAATCTTGTTAGCAATAAAACTGGGCTCTGTTAAACACTAACACCTTAATTTGAATTAAACTACAGATCAAAACAAAAACATTGCTAATACAATGTTTGGTATTAGCAATGTTTTTGTTTTGATCTGTAGTTCAATTATCACATTATTTCCACATCTGATTCTCAAAGCAATCAGAACCTGTTGTAACATATATAAAGCCTTAAATTCCTTATGAAGATGACCTGCAACAACCAAAACAAAACCTCCAAACCCAACACAGGTTTGAAGGCCACTGGTCACAACATTCACTGGGTGCAAACACAGTCACTGTAGCTGAACAGGACAGGCACTATTCAATGTAACTGAAGCTTTAAGTGATGACTGTGGGTAACTTGGGATCACCTTTCTATAGTTTTGCATTTAACTTCCCAATATCAAAACCATTTCATAAACATTCACATTAGTCCAAATTTCCAAGAAACTTCCACCTCCATTTTGTAAGCTATTTCTATGTTTTGTAACTATCATCTTGCCCATAAAAAGAAGAAAATAACTTCAAGAATGTAATTTCAAAATGAATAAAATTGCCCAAAAAGGCAAAATGAGAAAAAAAATGTATTTGAAAGAACTACGTCAATATAATTTTTACTTTGGAACAGGTAACACTGGAAAACTGCCGTGACTGAAAAATATGAAGTTTTAAACCTCATCCACAGAAATTATCTTCAAGTGCAAGCATTGAAAAACAAAACAGGTTTGCAGGAATTAAACCAGTACTGCTTCTTTTATGGCCTGACAACTGTGACCAAACTGTGTTCTAGTTTAGTTCACATTTATTAATCCTAAGCAATCTAAGTTATTCAAATACAAAATAAATTTAAACACCCTGAACTGTCAACCCAAAGTATTTCATGGCATTTTAGCCATCATGATCCTGATTAAAGTTTCTCACAGTGTTTTTGATGTCTCCACTGAGACTAAAACAACTAGGAATAGCTTGGTGGAAGATGAGGTTCCTCCTGCAACTCTTTGCAAGGCTGCCTGTCAGCAGGAAGAAAAATACAGATAATGAATGCTGCAAGGGGCCTTTCATCTTATTGTTAGGAAGCTGAGCAAGCCCACCTACCCCGAGCCCTCCACAGCAGCTGCTCACTGTTAGCTCACAAGCAACCTTCTCATCTTTGACATTCAAGTGCTGAATACAAAAGCAAAAGATGAACAATTATACCCAAAAAGGAAAGGCAAGCTTTACTTTATGGGCTGGTAGATTTTCTTAGCAGCCATAGCCGTAATTCTAAGAAATTACAGAATTCCACTTAAATATGGCTTTCCCAAGTATTTGAATATTCATGTTCAGTCAGTTGTGGCATTCTTCAAGATCTTAGTATCTTGAATAGTTTTTTTGTGGCTGCACATCCTAAATACCTAAGAACCATGCACAGTCAACTGACAGCTTGTCCATCACATTCCTGTTGCAGACATTTCCCTTCTCCTTCCATAGTTGCACTGAACATAATTTTTGATGAAAAACATTTTGCAAGTACACTTCAAAGTGAACTAGGTGCTCCAAAAAATACTGAAACTAACTTGCTTAATATCTTTGAACCAAAGTGTTGAATATCTAAGTTCTAATGCCTTTCTGTATTCTATGTCACATTAAATTAACTGCCAAAAAGTACAATGCTCACCAGGCAACAAAGGCATGATGCTTCACAGTAATTTCCTGGGCAGGAAATGAAAGCCTACAGATAACGCTGAGCTGTGAATCCTTGACTTTCACAGCATAGGACTCAAGTTCTTATTAACTGATGAGAGATAGCACATTGACAATATTAAAACCAAAATCTGAACTGATTCAGCTGTCCAGTGTTTGCTGACAACTGGTGAGAGAAGTTGAATCAACTTCCAAATTATTCTAACTTGATTTATCTATTAAAGCCCATTGTATTACTTGTATTTGCTTAAGATGGCACAAATAACATTTGTAAAAGTAAACTGCTCCACAAGAAAAGAAAGCTCTGCCATAAACCTCACTTCAACTACCTAGAGAGGAAAGGCATGTTCCACTCTGTAGTAAAAAGCAGAAACTCCAACAGCCCTCCATTACCCACAAAATATGTCATATCCATGGACTAACCACTAGCTTTCCCTCTGTCTCATGTTCTTACATTAACCACCAGACAACTAGATTTTTTCTCTAAATATGATTTAATTAAAAACACTAAATCAGCTTTGACTTTTATTTTATATATGTACAATAGTTAACCAAATAATGAATACACTTAATCAGTTATGTCAAATTTCACATAATGTCAAAGGACATCAGCACGGCATGGAATAAACTCACTGCCTTTTGCAGATACAAAAAATGCATGATGTTAATTGTGATTACTATTTGGTGTGTGGTTTGTTGGTTGGCTTTTTTACAACTTGCTTATCAATTCTCCAAATAATGTTGTCATAAAAACAGTGTAAGTGGTTAATTGATCAGTTAATATATTAACAAGTATGAACATTAGTAAAGTTTGCAAGGTATCAATTGCAAAGTTACATCAAGTGTAGGACTGAATGTATTCACATGAAAGTTACCTTAAGTTAGAAAAGTTTTGAAAAAGAGCCCAGGTTGGAGCTGTGCATTAATTTGGTCAAACTGATTCATATGAATGAACAGTCAAGTTTATTTAGATATTGAAAATACAATTTTTAATAGTATTATTTTTAGTATTCACAAACAATTGTGTATATAGTGTGTGTATGTGTGTAAATATATATATGTATATATAAAGTGAAGATATGTTAATGTAAAAATATACTGTTCATCCACTCCCAATTACACAAAATTCAGTATTTGGACATTAAACTGTGCAAGTATGAATGTCCATTTCAAATCTACATTCAACCAGCAACAAATACTTAGAAGTATTTTTGTAAACATTTGAGATAGGGAAAATCCATTTACAAAAGAATCCTCCTTTAGCACATCAGCATCACTTCAGCTTGAAAATTTTGTACAGCAGCTTCAGCTGGCATATTGTGAATCTGCTTATATCAAAGAGCTCACACTGTCTTAGATCAATATGTGTGAAAGCTCAGCAAATCCAGAAATTTCTTTCATTCTTAATCACCATCCATTTCCAGTTTACCAGCAAAAAGAAAATGCACTTGGCTACAAAAATATTAAGGAATGTTATTGAAAACAAAAGGCTATTTTGGTAGAAGAAACTACAAAAATAGTTAAGTTGAGTCATGTTGTAAAGCTTTAATGCAAAAGCATTACAGTACAGATTTTCTTTACAACCTTAAAGCTTAATCAACACCAAATTTAAATATCCATCTCTCAAGTGCTTGAACAAAATGTGCTCAGTGAAAGTCTTTCTCCAAGGGGACCAAGTGTGATTAGGCAGGTGTCAGGCTCTGCGTCTCAGCCGCTTGTTGAGCGCCGTCCCTCGTGCCATTGGCAGCAGCTACAGGGGTTGAGATGCTCTGGTACAGTGACGTCGGACAGCTCAAGTCAGCTCCACTCTCATCCTCTCCCATATCAGAATCTGGAGTTACCAAACTGTTCTCTATCCCCAGGATCTCACTCACTGTTTGAGGCAATTCCTAGAAAGGAGGTAGCAGGGGAAATATTAAAAATCACTGTAATTAAATGCAAAAAAGTTAACAACCAAGTCCCCTCTGTCCATCCTGCATTCCCAGTACTCATTCATGTGACAAATCATTGATCTGAATTTAGCTGTACTGAAAGCATCTCTCTCAGCAATACGTACATTAGAGTTAACATTTTCTGTAGCTGCTTTTCAAGAAGACAGCAAAAGGAACACACTCAGGAATCAACTCCTGATTAATATAATCTTCATTATAAAAGTTAAAGTCTAATCAGCTATTAAAATTACACTTCATGTTATTGAAATTAGTTTTATTGAGTGACCCACTAGTTTTTGCCTAATAAGTCTGGCATGCTTTCAATGCAATGCACCTTTCAACTAGTTTTTCTCAAGCACACCAAACATCAAATTTCTTGGAGTGAGGTTACCTAATGAGAGCTGAGAAATGACAACCAAAAAGCACAATTCAACTTTCCCCCAGTGAACAGTGTTACTCTATAAAATCAATTATTCTTGCTTACAGACTGCTTGAACATAGGCACTGCATAGCTACACTACATGCATTACTGTGCCCAGGCATTCAGTTATTTCACAAGTCACACATGAACACTTACAGTTAACTACATACTTTTCCTGTCTATAAACATTCACAGTAGACAGATATCTTTACCTTGCAATTCATCATCTGCATAGAAATTGCTTCTGCTTTGCAGAGTATATATTCCACATCAATTTTCATAGACAGCTCATTGATATGCTAAAAATAAATTCACAAGGTATAGTGAGATAAATTATAACTATGTTTCACCCAAAATACATGAATACTGCACTGCACTGCTAGTAAGTATCACCTTATTAACCTGCGCCTTAAGCTATGAAATGCTAGACATAGCCTATAAGCTTTGAGAAATGGCTACTCAAAGATACAGTATGGAACAGCTGCCTTTCACCAGCATCCAAGGTCTGCAAGGGGAATCCCTAGCACCTCTAAACATGGCAAACTATCTGGCCCTCCTACATGCTTCCCCCTGCAGCTCACATTTTCAGAATGATAAATTAGATCATAGAAGATAAAGCAAAAGTTAGTATTAAATATAATAACTCATCTGAGGAGAGAACCATTTTTGATCTATTAATGATCTTATCACTAAACACAGACATCCAATAAACCATTTTGAAAGCCTGCAGGATAGACACTTAACCCTTCAGAAAATGGTATGCACCTTTCCCTCCCCCAACATAAAGCACAATCATATTGCATTAACTCGAAAAAGTTAATTAATATTTTAACCTGGCTCCCAAAAGACAACACCATACTAGCCACTAGGAAGACAATTCTACTTCAGCCAAAAGCAGCACAATAATGCATAAGAATCCGGTACCTTTAGTATTTCATTAAAACCATAGTGCTTGTCCATTATTTGCTGTTTTTCAGATTCTAGGATAGCACAACAAAGGAGAAGATGAAAATTCTGACAAGGCAATTCCGTCCACATGACCTGTTAAAATATAAAAACCCCAGATTTGAAATGCTTATACTTTTCCGCTGAAAAGAAAAGTAGTTCTTAGAATATAAGTCCTCCAGCCAAATCACTTAACTAACAATAAACTGGGTTTGAAAGCAACTAAGCATTTGTAAAATTATTTGGAATTGTACTTTTGGCCCTTTAGAGACAACTGCAAGTCTGAGTCACCAAATGCTTATCTGCTTCTTAAGCCATTGTCCACCATAATGCTACTAAACTGCTTGAGCTTGTGGTCTTGTGAATGTGGGCTCTGAAGTAACTGAAGCTAACAAATTACTTGTGTGGTTTAGAGTATCTGCATTAAGTGTGAATTGGCAGAAGAGTGTCATGCCCAGCAACAGCTAAAAAGAGTCTAATATTTATAAATAAGGTGCTAAAGTTGTTGCCAATCGCGCCACCATGAGAACCCAAAGACATGTACCTGCAGGTACTGGGGGTGCGTGGGTATTCCCTTCCGACTGAAGACACATTGGCTTTTGATCCCATGGAGGACACAATTAGCATTCTTGAGTTCACTGGGACTGAAGCGTGTAACCTCAGTACTAATACCCTATTTTAGTACATTCACAAAAACCTTTTGAAAAAAAGTATTTGAAAAGAATATGTATGGTGGGCAGAAAGCCGGAGAACAATTTTGCCAACAAAACCAGAAAGAAGCAAAAGTCTGCTTGCACAAATGCCCTGACAGAGAAAGGGATTTAAGACACTGGATTTACTCTCAAAAAAAGCAGGTAAGAAATCAGACTGCTGAAAAATTGTTACTTCACTAGCAAAAATCTTTTTTCATCATTATTGGTGGAATAAAGCCTTACAGCTGAGCAAGAGCTTATACTTGAACTTTCATTACTAGTACATGTAATCTGTAAACAGAATTGCATCAATCCCAAAGATATCCAAAGAAAATTCACCCAAAATAGACTGCAATTAAACTTCAATGTTTCAATTAAGATCAAGTTCAGAAATTAAATTTTGCATCTTTATCAGACAACCAATATTCTGTTAAAGCATACTCTCACTCCAGGAGAAAGACTGGAATGCAGATAGGCTGATAAAAAATAACAATTGAATGAAAATGCCTATAATCTACCAAACAGTCTGTGTCTGCACACTATTGTGTTCTTCTATTCCTACTTCGTCAGAAGGACATATTGACAGTTGTGCAACGATTTGGTTCAACATTAAGTTGCTGCCAAAAAAACCCATACATTTTGCTACCATTTTTTATAAACTTTTCGAAGTCTGGAGCAGAACATGCACTTAAAGTTACGTATGTAAATGCATAACAGCAGCATCACATGTTGAAAGGATGGGAGAAAAAGCAGCATTTAAGTTATAAATATGAAGGTAAAAATATAAAAATAATGAGCAATAAGTGTTTTTTTCTTTTTCTTTCTGATATAGCTACACAAGTAAAGACTCATTTGTTCTAGCACTACCACAGCAGCCATGAATATTGTAACCAGTGTACGTGAAGTAATTTATTCCCAGCTCATTCTGGCTTTATGTTACCAAGTGGTACTAGAATAACACTGGAGCTAGTGAGTTAGTTGTTATTTTGTTACAGAATTTTTCTTCTAAACCAGTCATTGTTCAAACAAGATTAAGAACTGGCTGGAATTATCAGGTGATATTGCCTGTCTCTCCAGCATCAAGGAGGGACTGAACTACTCTCAGTTTTGGGACAGCTAAGCAGTGGGTCAGTACATCTGGGCTGTGTTTGGGAGGCACTGCTAAAATGTGCTCTAAGTTAACCTATCTGCAGCCAGAGCAGTTTAACCCACACACAAAAGGCATTGCATGTAACATCGCAAATAACTGCACTCCAATAATGTGTCTCAGCTTATCCACAAAAGGTGGAATGTCACCTCTCTATCACATGCAAGAGCAATGAAACAACCACTTACATTTTCTACCACAATCTGATTATGGATCTTGCCCAGGAAATGCAAAGGCTGGGAGTTAGACTCTACTCCAGATTATAAGAACCAGTACCTCCCATTTCCAAGGTGAATGGAGATGGGAGAAACCAGACTAGTGAAGAATCTTTTTCATTCCTTTTTTTTTTTTCTGATAAAACACTGGAAGTCATGAAGCCAGTGGGAACAAGGAAAAAGTGTCAGATGCCTATGTAGTGGTTCATACGAGTCAGAGGACAGAAACAGAGATCCACAAGAACGCTGAAATAAGCAGATTACACAGAAAAAGCCCCAGAAGTCCTGGAAGCTGGGGCTGGAATCTCAGATGGTACCTCTCCTTCATCCCATTCTACGCTCTGCAAGAGCATGTCATAGCGTAATATCGCCTTCAAATGGATACCCTCAATTCACGCGCTATTACAAAACTGGACATGAGGTTTGCTCAGCCAAATACCCAAAAAAAAGTAATTAATTTCTCTATAAAGGGAAAAGGCCTCCTGTGTCTATAGCTTGCCTGCGTAAATCCCACTTACTTCACTGATACCAGCGGAGCTGCATGGCTATGCACTGGAAAAAAGCAACCTATTGTAAGCTGGACTGATCAAGGTGACTCTAACCTTCACATAAAAATGTTAACATAATGCCTTAACTACTTTGTTTTAAAAAGGAAAACAAGATATTCCCTTTCCCATTCCATATCTCCTAGCAAAGAAATTGAATACTTGTAGTAAACACACATTATGATGTGCTGTAAGAAACCTACATGACTATTATATATCAAAATGTTTCCATCATTTTCCTAAGAGAGGAAAAAAAATACTTGAGAGAGAAATTTAGTGTTTCTTTCCTGTATGTACACATATATATGCCTTAAAGCAGAGGTGATAAAAACATGTTAGCCTGGGACTATAAACTATAAATAAAAATACTGTTGCCATCTACTTAAAAAGAAAAATTAGTCTCTAAAAAATACTGAAAAAGCAATACTGGGGGGAAGAGCTGAGTGCATCTCCCCTCCCAAATCATTATCATTTATACCTTCAAATAAGAGAATTCTTCTGGTTTTGTACATATTGGTTTCCTTATTTATGAATGTTATCCATAAACTTTTTTTTTTCCTCTAGTTGAAATACCACCGCAATACTCTATGATAGTAAATTCCACCAACTGATGATAAAAAAGCTAAAAAATATTTACTTTAGACAGTTTTAAATACTGGTCCTCCTCTTTATGTGACTCCTTTTTCATTAGTGGAAAAAGTGAATAAAAGTATCAACATTATTTTTCATCAGACCAGAAACAACATTATTTTTCATTATAGTACAAACTTTATGCATCTCAACCCTGTTCTTTTCATTACCCTTCTGTTCCTCAACACATATGATGTTATGTCCTACAAAATACTCCCTCCTTTCACCTGAACATTTATTCTGTTCTTCTGAGTTTTCAAATGAATATTGTGCCCCTGTTAAATGCAGTTTCGACAATAAACCTGTACTGCTGACACACTTCTCAATTTTCCCAGAACGAAAAATTAAGGACAAGAATATTAGTTAATCTTAATTATTTCATCTGATTCCAAGATCACCTAAATTTAAAAAAAACTCATTAACCCAGAATGATCAGAACTTCAACATTTTGATGTTTTACATAATGTTATGTGGCATCACAAGGCCTTATCATCAAGATAAACAACCTTCTGACATCATCCTCCTCATGGTTTTGGCTAACACAAATGACCCTGACAGTGCTTCATTCAACTTATTCTATAAAGAATCACCAATACCAAGGAATTAACCAAACAAATGCTCTTTCTTTTATCATGAGCTGTTTTCCATTAACAGTTAACTGGTACTTGCCACTTACTACTTTCACTTAAGAGTCTCAGTTGAAGGCTCCTGTCCAAATCATTTTGGACAGCCAATTTATCCAAACCAGCTCTAGTAAGCAGTTTTTCCATTAATTTCACAAGTTAGTTCTTTAGGCTAAAAAAGACATAAGAAATGCTCACTTGTCCTCAGGTTATTTTACTAAATCCTTTTCTTCTTAATTTATCAGAGTATTAAACACTTTGCAAAATGATCCATGCATTTTGTTCTAAAGTCCAAAAACTGCTGGAGTTTGTGTGACGAAATATTTCCTTACCTCCCAGAGTCGAAGAATATCTTGAAAACTAAATTCCCTTTTAAATCTGATAAGAAGCCACCGGAAGCAAAAATAAAGGTAGCCTGAATCTTGAGATTCTAGGAATAAGAGTGTGACATTTCAGAAGCATCAAATTTGGTTCAGACAACAGGTAAAAAAAAATACACACTTTACAGGTACATGCTTACACCACTAATTTTTAAGACAGCAGGACCTTTTTAGAATCAAGATATTTGCAAGAGTATGGCATATTTTTAAAACTGGTAACAGGATGACCCTGTCTTTGCAATAAGCATGGAGCAATTATTTAAACATTTTAGGCATTATAAAGTTACAAGTCCTATACTCATATAATATTGGAATTATATTTAGACTTGTGAGGAACAGAATACAGGAAGCTGTTTCAGTTACTGTGCATAAATAATACACCTACCTAAATAACTGCAAAATCCACTGTCTAGTAAACGAAGCAAATGACTTAGCTGAATAAGTTGTGTCTTCATACCCTGCATCTGTTCTTCAAAATTCTGATGCTGTACGGAATAAAACATAAGCACTGTGTCACTTTTATTAACTCAATTTTGAGATTTGCAGCCACTTTAATAGAAGCTTCGTTATTGCAATAGTGGTTCTCACCCTTTAGTTAATATATATTTAACTGTACTTCTATCTAATGAAATGTCTGCCTTTTATTGAAAAGTGTAACTAAAGCACTGGACTGTATTTCTTTGCTAACATTTTTGTACGTAATAAATGATAGTTTAAATCTGATTAAGCTCTGTACTTCCCAGCAGCATGACTGCACTCAAAAAATTCTCTTTTACTGTCTTATCAGTCACACACTCTTTTGCCACATGCACAAGTCATAAGAGCTTCAGTTTGTGGGAAGTCTAAACTGCATTTAACAAAACCCAAAAGGTAGGTATATAATTAAACCATTATCCTGAATAAAATCCTGCTTGAGGACTCCTGATAAATACAAATTTGTCTGTGATGGTTACTTTGGAATTTTAAGGAGCCAAATATGTCTGTATCATACAGCAGTACTATTGCAAACTCACCACAACCTCAATCAACAAAAGCGTATTGATTCCAAACAGAAAATGAGTGCTTTAAAAGGATTCAAAAAACCCAGTGAAATTTATAAAGTAAAATTAACCCCAAATACTATCTGTAGCTTATCTGTTTACGTGAGGTAAAAAAGCCTTATTTTACCATTTGATCCATGTATGATACAAAGCACCAAAAGGCATCGACTTCATTCTCCATAACATACAAGACAGGTGACAGCAAGTCGCTCATCCCCTGCACATAACCTTGATGGAGAAAAACCAGAGGGGGAAAAAGCAAAAAGAAATTTAAACTCAGTAGTTCAACAGTAATTTTTCAAGTGTGATGAATGACTGAGTGAAACAAATGCCAGCATATACAGATACTATAATTCTCAGATTCAGCTACCAGTAAAGACAAATTTGTATTAATAGGCACCAACATCCCACAGATCTGATAAGATTTACAAGCCATTTCTGCCAATCTAAAGAGAACATAAAGCAAACACATTGTTCCAACAGCTGTTAAAATATGTACAAACTGAGTTTGTACACAACATATTTTTAGTAAATGTTCCTATTTAGAATTCAGGAGTATATATATATATATATATATATGTATATATATATATGATATTTTTAAGATTAAGTCTCTACCTTGTACCATCAAAATTACAAACTTGTATATAATTTTCTATTTGTACTTCATTACTTTCTTATAGACATTTAAAAATGTTGAGTATCTTTGTACTCCCTCACCCACCCCCTTAATGAAGATTTTCTTCTCAAATTCACTTAAAGAGATGCTGAGTTGCAATTCCAGAAAAAACACTTCTTTTCCAGAAGAAAACTTGGCATTTTACGCTTCTTTTTTTTCTGTCACTGAACGTGCTTTAAAGATTCCCTTATTTAAGGAAGATGGGACTGTTCTGCTTGGAAAGTACTTTAAATACACCCAAGCCTAAGACCATCTGTGTAACCAAGAAGACAACAACAAAGAATTTAACCTATCAAAGTGAGAAAGGGAATTAACAGTAAAGTATTGCTTGCAAGAAGCACAAAAGCAACATATCTCTAGATCTGATTCAAGGATGTGCTTTTATATTTTGTGCCTAGAACTGGTGAATAAAGTTCATACTACCCAAGAAGTACTCACACACTTTCAAGAAAAGCTTTCATTTAACTGGAGAAGGAAATGCCCACTAAAGCATATAATTTTTACAAACAGCTATACAATTTTAGTTGTATAAATTTTTTTTCAAATTTTCAAATTTTAAAAACTTTTTTCAAAGTTTTTAAATGCTTCTTCCAGCTTTCTTTTTTGTAATTAACAGTCAATTTAAGTAGAGCATAATGATTTCTACAGGTACTTTTTTTCCCTCCTTCCCAACTCTTCCAATTACCACTGATGCTAGTGTCAGCTTAACTATTGCCCAACTGTTGCTGACCTCTCTAAATAGGACAACACAATTAATGTGTGTATCTATCATCAATGATTGGTTCAACATAATATTTCTCAGTTGGCTGACTATTTCTTAATGATGTAATTGTAACTCTGTAACTGAAAAGAGGATTAGTCAGTAACTGAAAATATGGAGCAGCTGTAAGAAGAAAAATAGAATAAATAACAGCGAACAGGTAAATAATTAAAAGGTCAAAAGAAAAAAGTTGTTCCCCACATATTAAATACTACAGCTAACTAAAAACAAACGCAGAGAAAATTCTGTCCAAGACAGTTTAAAAGTCCATTTAATAATAAAACCAATTTCATTAATGCAGACTTAAGGAATTAATTCAGAAAAATATTCTATTAACAGCTATTCTGTCCCCTTCCCTAGGGAGCAGTTTGTGGCATTATTCAGACCCCTCTAAAACTGCTGTCAAAAGTTTAAGAGCAGCACAGCACCAATGTGTAGAATCCTTGGACAGTTACTGTGTCAAATTTACTGTATTTCCATTATTCCTGCTTGTTTATAAAACAGAAGACTTATCCAGTGTGCACATTTAAGCCATGTCAACAATGTTTTTAACAGAGTGGGTGGTGAATCTGCTTTACTTTCACCTATAATGTCACAGTGCATTAATGGATGTTGAAATGTGGAAAGAGATGAAACAGAGCTACATGTTTAAACAATCCATTTTAGTTTTCTCTTTTTTCAAGCCAAAGATCAATACTCTCTTTCAGAGAGAACGAAACCTGACAAGAACTACAGCTCTACAGCATGTTTACTAGCAGTTAAAGATTTAATCTTACTTTTTGTTTTCAAAATCTGGCATGAAGTGGGCTTTTAGAATCCCAAAACTTTATACAGAATACCCAAAAAAACTCCAAAGTATACACCAGCCAAATGTCATGCCAGGGGTGAAGGGGGAACCAACTGCAAGTGTCTTTTTCCCCCTCCCAAGACAATTAACAAGAAACCAAGACTTAGCCATCACATTAACAGTGTGATTAAAGTAAGATGTTATATGCTCTTCCCTCTGCAGCAGATGCATGCACTAAAATGTAATTTTTGACAGATTGCTAAGTGCACTTCTCAAGAACCAGCTTTTAAAATATTCAAAAGAACACCATGTTTACAAACAGCTGGTTCAGCATGCTGAGCTTTAATTACAGCAGTAGCAGCTGGCTTATAATTTTTATTGATATTATCAGTCTTAAAAACATATATAACACTCAACCTCCAAAGACCCAAACCCATTTAAAACTCTGAAAAGCAAGACTGCTTCATTTCTTTTAAGAAAGTTAACACAACAAAACCTAAACCACAAAAACTTAACCAAAACCACACAAAAACCCCAAAAACATCAAAAGAACCCCACAACAGTAGGTCTGTGGTAAACACAAACTACCACTTAATTACCAATCCCACCACAATTAATGAGTTCAGATGCCTAAAACAGACATCAAACTGAAGAGAGGAAGAAAAACTGAACAAAGTTATCTACATTACTGAACACTACAAAAAAAACTATTACATTTTTTTAAAAACATTTACAAAAAGCATTGCAATCAATACAATTTCAATTCTATTAACAGGACTTTGCATAAGCAAAGCTGCAAATCAGAAGCCAAGAAGGCATTTACATTCAGAGGGACACAACTTACCTAAGTCAAAGTCATACATGCAATAGGTCATCAAAATATCATGAAGTAAAATCAGTCCCGGATTATCTTCTCCTTCATAGAACTTATTTGTTCGATCTGTTCTGTTAACATCTTTTTCTAAGAAAACAGTCCAGATTTAAAAACACTTTCAAAACCAATCTTACAAAGCCAGTATCAAATTAATTCAGAATATCTAAGCTGATGATTTCCTCCACAAACACTGTTGGAAAGCTTTGAAGTGTTTAAGACAACTGTGTAACTGAATGTCATTTCAAAACAAAGAATGTTTTAAAATAAATAAAATCCTTCCTATCTCTAATGAAAGTATTTGCTTACAAACATATTTTAAAGCTTTCTGCCTTTTCTTCGATAATGCATTTTATGGAAAAAATCCTGATTACAATTCAGCAAAAATGTTTTACACTTAAGAGGATTAAAAATAATTTTATGTGAGCTAACTCTACAATGCCATTTATGAATACTGATGCAACACAGCATAATCCATAGTTGGAAAGTTCCCACGTTATCAGCTCAAAGACACTATGCCAGTTCATAAAAGCATTTTATAAATACTGTGTAACAAGCTCCTGTAACTCATAGCAGATGAAATTGCCTCTTTCATCAAGTAGTTTTGATGTCTGAAACACACCAAGCACACATTAAGCATACTCCCTAATAAGATGAAATTCAAGACCAATATATTTTGAAATTTTGCAAAATTTTGAATGCCGTTTGATAAAAGGCGTATTTTGTAGATTTGAATCTATTTTACTACATAACTCTAAAACTGCCACATACATTTCAAATGCTTAAAAATTAAAATAATTGTCTCAACAGAAACAAACACCGGGCTCTTTTTAAACTCAGAACATATTTTTTTCTGTTATCACTCTCTAAAAATGTAGTTTATTAGTCTACGTAGACAAGACTACATTGACCCTTTCAGCCTGCCTGTTGAATAACTGCCTGAAATAAGTTTAGTCTTTCTCTCAGAATAACAATGAAATCCTGGCCTGACTCCTGAAAAAATATTCAGTAATCCAGAACACTGGTGCCCAAATCTCACTATCAAAGAGAAATGAGAATACAAACTGCTAATACTCAGCATAATTTGATGAAATTTTTAGAAGTAGGTGTAAAACCCCAGAAGTCAGAACGCACATACACAAATCCCTATAAGAAATTACAAAATATGAACAGACACATTTTTACAGTCTTATTGTATGCCATTATTTTAATAACATTTTCAACAGAAACACATTATGACATAACACAAAATGAAGAGTCTTTTGTTATTGAGCAAAGCAAGTTTAAAAATCCAGTCAGTATGTAACACTAATATGTAAAGCTCTGAGTTACTTGGCTTGGCAGTTTTAATATTAAGTACATAACCAAGTTTAGACACCTCTGAAAAGAGCAACATTTCATTTTTAGTGCCTCTTCATGCAGGCTCTTCAATTTTACATTACCTTTTAAAAGTGTGTGTGCATTTAGGTATGTGTCTAAACGTGAATTTACCTATAAGACTCCGGTAATCTCTTAATCTTGAATTTCGCTTTTCCTGCTCCTCACTGACAGATTTCCACTGCAGCTTCATCCTGAAATATTCATCCCTGAAAAAGAATGACAATTTTGAAACCAAACATCCACATTTCCTTTTTTTAATTCAAGCATTCCATGTATTCTTTGAGATAAATGGAATAACAACACACTGTTTATATAAAGTTTTTACTAAAACAATTTTTAAGAAAATGTCACAGGTTTTTGCATTCAACAGTTTTAGCAGCTGTCTTTCAAAGGGCTTTCTACATCACTGTGTCTTAAAAAAGATGCACCTTTTAAATTTATTTTGTAAGAAAAAAGTCACTGTACTCACGTTTTCCTCTTTTGCAGATTTGCTCTCTCTTCTTTAGTGCTATTCCAAGGAAAATATCCCAAAAGAAATTTCCATGCCTCTTTTCTTAAAGTATGGCAGAGACCCTGGGGAAAAATGGGTATGATGCATCAACAAAAGTATTACCATACTGTGAGGAAACATTCCTAGGTTGATACAACACTTCCCAAAGTAGCAACTTCAAGTTGGTTTCTTTTTACATTGTAGCCAAGTCTCCCGTGCTAACTAGGTCTGACACTGGGAGGAAACAGGACGAAAAGAGAATGATTAAACAGAATACTGTAGAAGCACTGGATCCACACTTAGGTAAAAAAAGAAATTTTAGAAAATAATTTTCTTCCTATATTTTTGCTTCACTGCTAAAAATAAAGAACTTACAGGCATCAAAGACTTTATAAAAGGTACCTTTAAAAATGTACAAAAATATAATGCTGCTTCTGGTTGCCAAACTTCTGGTCTCGCCATAAAGTGACCCTGAGGACTAGTCTTCCATTTATTTGTTTTTTTAAACAAATATTTTCATCTCACAAGACATAGCCAACCTTCAATAAATCTTTCAGTCAAAAATACTAATGTCCATTCAAGAAGCCGGCTTATCAGAAATCTTCCCAAGTAATGCTCAACATTTTTAGATTACGAAAATGTACAGAGCTGAATCATACCCTGCTCTCATCAAGAGAGTTTCTTGCAACTCCTGCAGTACAGTCATAAGAATAAGGAACTTTTTCTATGAGAGTGCATATTGGGGATCTTGAGTCATAAATAAAATAGAGCACTCAGTCCTCTGGTAATGGGCAGAGATTGACAAGAAAGTGGGCTACAGAAGAACAGATTTGTAGTAATTCTCATGATTGTGGAAAGTCCTTAATTGGGCACATGAAGCACACAAATATTAAGGAACAGTGCTATCATTCTCTACTTCTGCTTGCAAACATGCATCAGCAGGCACAAAATGCATTAAGGCAGCTGTATTCCCACCAAGATACAGAAATACTGAAATAACATTAGGTAGAAAAGCTACAGGATACCATTAGTTTTCAAAATTTCCATCACTGAGACTAAATTCACATTCATATTGCAAAACCCCTCAGTTCAATTAAAAATACCAGCAGAAGCATTTAGCACTCTTCTGCTAAACAGTGTCAAATCCCAGCAAACAGCTGGGCAAAACCAGAAGCTTCTGCTGGAGAAGGATAGGAAAAAAACTTGTAAGAGAAAAGAATAAACCAAATATCATAGCACTGAAATACTGGTCTTTTCCTGAAAGCCACTTTCATTTGTTTTATCACTTAAGTTTCTATATTTCAAACTCACTTCCTTTAGCCAGCCACAAGATCTCTCTCCTTGTAGAGCACTTTTCTATAGCTGCAAGACTGCTGAGGTATTTGACTGGCATGAAACCATGCTTTATGAAGTCTCTCAATAATGACAGTCTGGGTCATGCTCAAAGTTCTGCCTGAAACATTACAAGTTAATGAAAGCAGCATATCCACAGTTTGGGAAGGAAAATAAAAGCCAGAATCAAGCCATAGATCTTGCTGAATTTAGAAAAACTAGTTACCCCTTTGAATATCAATCGTTTTATGTAGTCAACATCTACAATTCTTCCTTCAGAGTCCATATTCTTAGCCCATTCTTCAGCTGACACAGGCTCTCTTCTACTAACTTCAGGCTGTTTCCCTAGGTCGATCTGAAACACACACCAAGGCATTATATGAATCCAAATGAAGTGCTTCAGTAGTTGCAAACAACTGCACAAGTGGTACTAAGCTTGCCAGTTTCTTATAGTCAGTGCAATTACATTTCCACATGCACATACCTCAGCAACTCTAAGGATCTAAGGTTGCACCCACATGAGCAAGTAGAGTGGGCCAACACAAGCAGCGTAGATCTTTAGCCTAAGACACTTGCTGCTGAGGACCTGGCTATACATGGTAATACTTCAGATTTTGGAGGATGTATGTGTGTTTTAAATAACCTTCTAATTCTACAAACACTTCTGAGCTAGGTTCCCATGAACTAATGCAACACAGCAAACAAGGACAATTGGGAGCTTCACTTCAAAAACACATTCCTGATACACGAGTGCATCTTAAAAGAGAACTGAAAACCAGCTTGGGTTTGGAGATGCTATCCCTACACAAACTGCACAATGTGACTGGAAAGATCAGTTTTGTACACAGCCTCTTAAAAAACCCAAGGATGTATGTGCTTTCAGAATTTATAACAGCCATCAAAAGTTTCAGTTTGTGCTTAGTCTCTCAGTTCCCAAATTCTATGTACAGGAGAATTCAGCAGAAAGTAAATTCTTACTTTCTAAAAACAGTTTTATGATGGCAACCCCCAAAGCAATTTGTATTTCAACTCTTTAGAAGTCCAAGGCATTTGTCAGATTAAGACAAATAGGTCAATGTTATTTTCTATATATAGAATTTGTTATACTTTTTCTCATTCACAAATTAACTAAGTGCTAGGCAGCAACGTCTTAGAATTATGTTGTTCGTGCAGCTACTGCTGAGATATTAACACTTGCTTGAACTCAAAAAATCCCCCATATAAAACAGTTTAATGTTTTAAAAACATATAAACTGCTCAAATAATAATCACAAGCATTTAAAAATAAACCTTTTCCACATATCTGTAAAAGACTCCAACAGGTGTCCACAGTGACTCATGATCCAGTTAAGTTCATTCTAGCTTTGTTTCAAATCATGCATATATCTGTAATTTATACACCCTAGACATTAATCATCCAATTAAGTATTTTTTTAATCTCGAAAGAAACTGGAATGTTAGCAGCAAGTAGCCGAGAAAGTTGGTTATTAGCCTGCATTCTCCAATTTTACTTAACAGAGCTCTAATTGACCTCAGAGGAAACACTGAATATAAAATTGGACACCTTTTAAGGTAGTGCCTCTAACATAACTATAGTCACCATTTCATTAATTACAAACTTCCTTTCAAAGAAAACTCGCATTTGCATGCATAAAAATGACATATTGAAAAGTAACTGATGATGGCCTTAACTCCTGAAAATAAATGGTAATATGCCACAATTGCATAAACAGTATAACTCATCATGCTTCAAGTCCTACCATTCTTTTAAAGGAGTGCATAAAAACAATCAGCACATCTGTATCATTAATTTATAGACTTACTCGTGTAATGACTTCAAATCCTGGCTCTTCCTGCTGATTTATCTTCAGCCCTGGAATGGTATCATTGAGAAAGTCTGCCATTTCTGATGGTGGTCGCCTCTGATTTGATTGATCACTTGAACGTAAACTACCAACAATATAGTTTGTGACTTTGGAAAATTTTCCCATTGTTACTACGTATGGATCTTTCTTCCATTTCTGTTATAACATGGAAAACAAGCAAAACACAAGCATTTGTGTTTATAATACATTTGTTTTATATACATATACACACCTGTAATTCTTGTACTCCAAGGAAAACATCAGGAAAGGTACTGTAGATCTCAAAATTATTCAAGTTTCATATATTGGTAATAACACAGAACAGTCATCACGTGATTAAAAAACACATCTTAAGTACGAGGATAATACTGCTTAAGTACGAGGATAAAACACATCTTAAGTACGAGGATAATATAGCCATGGCCAAAGGCCCCATCCCATCAGAATTGATTTGGAAGATTATCCAATCTTCCAGTGTTCTCAGTAAGCCTGACCTACACATAGAAGTGGATCAGATCCGCTGCTTGCTATCAGTAAATCATGGCACAAAACAGAAACCTTACACCCAGTTTCTCTACCCTCACAGAGAAAAGAGTCTGAACAATCATGTACTCTGCTAGGAATTTCACACAAATTTTGATTTGACAATTAAATCCAGAAACTAACATAATTAATTCATTAAGAACTTCTTTAATTAAACACATCAGCTGATCAAACCTCTGGCCCCATTTAAGTCACTCAAGTTCTGCTGCTGACTTTCACAAGCCCATAAGCCCCACTAAATGATAAGCCACTGTAGTATTAAAACCCCCCATATTTTTAGCCAATACTGTCCTCTTTGCTGCTGCATTTCCATTATCCCTTCAAAAGCCTCAGAAAATATCAATGAAAAGAATACTTAGTCAAGGAAAACTTAGAAAATTATAATTAATATGTTGTGGTAACTCCTAAAATATTTCCTTTCCCCCCTAAGACAATGTATGAATCGCAGAGAACATGAACTTGAATAGGTTTGAAATAAAACCACAAAAAAGTTAAGAAGTTATCACATCATAGAAAACAACTTACAATTAAGTGTACTTTCTATAGTAAGCATTTGGTTTAGGATATAGTTAATGCTTATACAATGGCATTAAATCATTACTCAGAGAATGCTCCTGTGACATTGTAGGATGCATTTTTTCAATACATGTCTTCAGAATAAAAAATTTGAAGGAAATACATACTTGTAATAAGCCATATGATGGTTCATCAAAGAGATTTTCAAAAGACTGAGACAGTGACTTCTGAGTCTTCACAAGAAGAACCCGTTCATCATGTGGAGATCTGCAATAAAATTTTAAAAGGGTGCCTGGGTGTGACTGGTTTTTATCTGTGAAGTTTTCAGAACATTTACTGGTTTTCTGAAGTCACATTTCAGGCTTTGTGCAAAAAATAAAAGAACTGATGCAAAATCATTCATGTGATGCAAGATCAGTCCTTGGCACAAGTTAACCAGCTAAAGCTACACAAAACAGAACCTTCATTTTTCAAAAGATTATGTTATTTTCATATTAATTCTGAATTGTACTATTTCATTCCCTGAAAAATGAAGCTTTAGAAAATTTTCTGAGACATTTCTCTGGAAGATAACTCCATTTACATGTAGGTGACAAAATTTTCTTCAAGTACATTTTTCTAGTTTTGACAATGGACAAAAAATTGTGACATAGGAAATGTAGTGAGACACAATCAGTCTCAACACAATATATGCTCAAACTCCCTTAACATAATAGGGGAAGTGAAAAGAGCCTATGTCACCCATACAGTTAAGGAATTCTTTTTACCAGTTAGTAAATCTTACATTATGGCACCCTGTAAAACATTACATTAAGGAATACAAACTGTTTTTCAATGTATGAAAGCACATCAACAAACTTCTAACCAATAGTACTACAACAGATCCTGTCAGAATAATTCTAAGATTCACACTGATAGGAGCTTAAAAGACACCAGAGCCACTGTACTGCAAAACAGAACCATCTCAGTGCAGCCCTGCAAATGTATTTCTGTGTAGATTCCAAAAGCTTAATGAACACAAACCTTGGCCTAACTCATTGTATTTGTACACTCCTGCTCAATACATTTGCTACTCAACAGGGCTCCATAGGCAGATGAAAACAGTGACAACAAATGCACTGAAACCATGCTGCTCCTAGTAATGAATCTGCTCTTTTGCTCTCACACCTACTCCCCCTGCAACATCCCATTCTGCCCCCTTCTTCAGCACAGGCACCCCATTACTTCCTTAAGCAGCTGCTGAATCACCAATTTACTGCCCAGTAGGTGACAGAAGAAAGAACAGCTCAGAAACCAGGCTGACATTCAAGCCTCAGAGTTTGTATCCAGGCAGGAGAAAGCCAAGCACTTTGCCATCTGACCCTAATCCATTGCACAGACTTACATTTATAAAATACCTCTCTATTGCTCTCTCTCTCAAAGTTTAAATCTAGTATTTCTAGTCTTTGAAAGAAAAATTGCTTTCTTTTTTATTAGCACCTGCATCATCTACCATGTTATTAAAGTCAAAGATAAGAACTTTAATAAGCCTTATCTCTTTCCCATTCCAACAGGACAGGACACTGTAAACACTGACGGATATGAAATGCAACAAGAGATCTTCTTTTGAGACAGCCAGACATCACAGTCATAGTTCTGAGGCACCAACAGTTAATGAAGCTCAATTGGCTTTTTCTAAAGAGCAGCACAGGGGCAAAGGCTGGCTCATGTATTATGTTTTCCTTAACTAAAAGAATTAAAACTTTGTACCATACCTCCCTTTTAATTAAACACACTTTATGGACACTCAGGTGGGTATCAACACCTACTTAGGTAATGTTGAATAATTTGTGAGCTATACACTTTCTGAAACTTCCTCATAGTCCAGTGACTTAGAAAGTGTCATCTGTGCACATGGTATTTTCTCAATACTAGACTGGTGCAGTCAAACTAGGAGGCACCTAATCCTTAGGACAACAAATCACAACTATGTTGTATGAGTTTAGCTGCTTCATGCTGATTTCAGCAATGATGTGATATTTACAAGGAATGGTGTTAGAGAGGAACAAAATCTTTTGAGGTAATAGGGACGTAAGAATATACGTAAGAAAATATAAAATAAATATATAGATAAGCTAAAATTTCTGCCTTAATATCAATATCCCATGTTTTATAAAATATAAGTTGGGATAACAAGTAATTACACTGACAAATATCTGCTTGTAGCATCCAGACAGCTGAGTAAACATCTTTTCCTAAATGAGGTTGTGAGCTGAGACACATTATGTACTAAAGAATGAATAACCATTAGGAAACAACGGAAAAAAACAGATTGACTCTGTCATTTCCATAACTCGGATGGCCTACTTGTTCTTTTCTCTTTCCTTAGACAAAAATAATGATCATAATTCATGACTAAACAACAGAGGAGAATTTGGTGAATTCCTTTTTGCTTTAAAGTTCCTGAAGTATCTGCTCTTGCATTAGTTAATGCTTACAACTGTTCAAGGTGGCAATACCAAGCAGCACAGCACATCCTGCAAGCTTGAACATCACCTCAAGTTTTGCTGTCTTATCCTAGAAATCAGTTAGAAAATTTCAAATATGTTGCTGCAGTCCACAGGTAACAGTATACACAGATCTGATATAAAGCTTCCTGTGACTCACCATATAACACAGGTCTTTTTCCAGTGTTTGCTATATCAGTTGCTCTCAAAACCTACCACTGTATCCACAAATAACTAAACACAGCAGTATGCTCAAAAAGGAACAGTTTCCTCGGGGAAAAAGGAAGGGAGGGAGGGGGATGGCAGGACAACAATGTTTCCCTATGCCTTCAGAGGTTGTGAAATTACGACACTAAATGAGGATATTTAGGGAAGGGAACCTAGAGAAAAAATCCCCTCAGGATTTAAAATGAAGTTGTTACTCAGGATTTTCTAATCTACAGTTGTACAGAAGTTCATCCTGTCCCCCTATTAGCCTCTCTTTTGGTCTTCCTGACTTTTCCCCTTACAAATCTCACATACAATGCTACAGCCAGTACCATTCCACCAACTGGACACACTGACCATGCTACCTTCTCCAAGCAGCTGAAAACTTCTAATTATCACAAACCCCAACACCAGGTCTTGAAACTGTCAAAGCCTTTCACAAATCAGTTCAATAAATATACAACCACTCACATCCCACTAACTTGTTCTCCAGCAAAATTTTCCTCAGTATTACTCAGCATCAGCCTGCTCTACTTGTTGAAGGCATCTCTGGCCCCAGTGATGCTACCAATGTAAGAAGAGCCCTCTGTAAGGATTCCTACAGCCATTTCACTATCCACCTTCAAATCTGTCATCAGACTACTACGTTGCAACTGACAATAGCAAAACACTTTTGAAAACAGATTACATGCTACACTAATATTACAGTGTTACAGGTATACATGTTATATCACATTTATTTCTTCATTTTCTATCTAACCTTATTTACCTGTTGGCTTCTTAAATTATACTTATGCCTACATGGTGAGAGCAGAAAATTTTATTTTATTCTACACTTATGCATGCTGATCAAAAAGGCTATCCTAGTAAAAAACTTGGAGGTAGTACAACTACACAACAACCCCAAATTATTTAACAGAATGATAGGGTCTTAACTATATTTACACTCAGATAGTTGATTTGTGTAGCAGAAATCAAGAGTGAAGCACTGACCAGGCAAGAAATTACAGGGGAACAGAACTGTGGGGGAAAACATTTATATAGCAATTGATTTAGCTGACAGTACTGTAAGTTACCTTGCACACTCAAGGAAACAATCTCAAATTGTAACACAAATTATCCCATTTTATAGAAGTAGCTCTAGAAGGATTTAAATTTTACACTGCATGTTGATAACAAGCTTCTGCACCCACTAGAGGGAGCAACTGAGGCATTCGGAGTTAATAACACCTCAGATTCTAAAATACTTCCCAAATCAATCCAACAATTTTTAAACTTCAGCTTACATTCCAAATGCATGTGTAAAACCACAGTTTCAGTCGCCTTGAAAACTACTTCTACTAATAAAAAAAAGGAACGGAATAACAATCAGGAAGTATTGCTCTGAAATTTATTACGTGATTTAAGTAAACCAATAATCTGCATTTTACATAACTAAGAGTTGTCTGATACTTACTCATTCAGTGCAACGTGCTTTTCAAGACATTTAATCAATGATTTGCTATCTCCATGATGAAAGTGAAGAGCTGGAAGCTTCACATCATCCTTCAGACAGAACACCAAATAAGACCATCCCATGCCTTCTTTGTTTTGTTTGATTGATTTCAGATCTGTCAAACTGAACAGGAACGACCACTTGCTTTCTCTGTTTGCATGAGTTGTAGCATCTTAAAAACAAAATTAGCACATGATTTCAGTTTGACTTTTAGTGTTAGCAATTATAAATACATTGTATCTATCACTGTTCCTAAAAAACAAACTCAAAATGTAAACACCAGCATTGGTTCTAATAATAAAATGCACACTGTAACTACTATTTCTGAATTTCTCTTTGAGCCTCCTTGTCTTCTACAGACTTGTAAAACAATCAGTAAGTCCATCAGGCTACTTCCCTAAAACTGTACCTACAGTTTATAGGAAAAGGTTTTTCACCCAGAGAATGGCTGGGTACTGGAACAGGCTCTCAGGAAAGTGGTCATGGCATTAAGCTTAACAGGAGTTCAACAAGCATTTGGACAACACTCTCAGGTACATGACAACACTCTCAGGTACAAGAATCTCAGGTGATTCTTGGGGTTGTCCTGTGCAGAGCCAAGAGTTGGACTTTGATGATCCCTGTCACCTGCAACTCAAAATACTCTATGATCCAACAAGAGAAGTGATCAAGCAGTTAAATGTACATCTGCTTTATAAAATTCCAGCAGCAAGCTAAATCCAACCTGCACCTCCACCAGGTAGTGCTACTTACTCAAACTTAACATGATATGTGCTACAATCTTATAACCTATATATTACTCACAGTTACCAGCCACATGTCGTGTAAGGCTGCTACCGAAGTAAGCGCAAAGGAACTGGAAATCGCCCCCTCACCCTTTCCTCCTGTAGTGCGCAAGCTTGCATACATGCTGTGCAAAACTCCATATATTCAAGGAGAAGGGATTAAAGGGATTAAACTTCACCAGAGGACACAAAATTGCCAGCATGTCCAGAAGGAATTTGGGACACCCCCTGGCCTGCTCCCATCACATTACAGCAATTGGAAATAGGCAAGAAGTGGCAAAGAGCATAATTCCAAGTCTGTAGTCCTCAGTGACACTCACTACGGATGAAGACATGCTCTGCTGACTGAAGATGAAAATTCAGTACAAACTAGTGATGTGGTAAACCATATTTATGCAACAGAGATGCTCTGTGTGTATGTGTGTGTATATATATATAAAAGCCAAGGACTGTGCTTTACTCAAAAACATTCATAATCTGTAGGCATCCAAACCCTGTAGGCATACATCACAGACATGACATTTAAAACCATTATAAAGACAGTAAAACAAGCACAATAATCCCCAGTTACATGCTGTGAAATAATAATGGAAAAAAAGTATTATTAAAGAAAAAAGACTTTGTGAGAATCAGAGAAAAAAAGATTACTCGAGAATCACTGTTCTTTCACCACAACTTGTTTTTCAACATCTCTACTGAGACACTATAACAAAAATGTTGTAACTATAGAATTATTTTGCTTACATAAAAAAGATATTTTTTATATTAAAGACTCCCCATATTAAAGATCCATGTATGTCATAACTGTACATTCCATCTCCCCCTGCTGCTGCAGTATGGAAAGGCATTTGAGTAGTAACCCACTTATTTTTCCATTTTCATTTCTAACAAAACATCTAGTTTGAATTCCACTTGTTTTAAAGAATGCAAGCACAGCGCAGACAAAACTGCTACTACATCTAATGATGAAGCAGGAAGTTAGATTTAATGTTCTTTTTCAATACAATTCTCTACCAATTTAAGGACAAAAATGAGGCAGATGACAGCTATTACTTGTGAATTTTTTTCCACACCCAGAGATTCATCTCTTACCACAAATGAATCCCAGCCTTCCAAAAAGGCTATTCTTAAAGACAATTCTTTAGTTACAAATTACCATCACGGAAGAAAACACTGCATGCACATAAAAGCCCTCCACAATTTTTTTTAAATACCTCCATTTGAATGAGGTTTCTTCTTAAAAGAGACTGTGGTGACCATGTCCCATTCTGCTTCATAACTACTTGGACGATCTGCTCCTTGGGAACATTTTTCTTTTGGAGTTTGAGTCCACTCCACAACAGAACTGGAATCCTGAGAGAAACAACAAAAGCAACTATGAAAAAACACAAGGCAAGAAAATTGACCTGGTTTCTCAGATTCAACAGGAAGAAACAGCATCTTTATTTCATAGATTAAAAGAGAATATATTGAAATCCTCAGAAACATACAGTTTCTGTAAAAGACACAGTTCAACAGAGGAAATTTGGACCTATGACTAACACTATGAGGTTTTACTTAGTAAATTCCAACATACTAAAATATCTTTGCCTCTCTTGAAGACTCTATGAACATAACAAATTATTCATTTAAGTGTAAAACTTTAATCTTTTTTATTTAGTCACATCCTCTTAATACTGATTAAATACCACATATCACTGCATCTTGGAACCCCCACAGACTTCTATTTTTATTTTGCATTAGAACAGCACCTCTCACTTTCGTGTCTAACTATGAAGAGTGAATCACCAAACTACAACACAGTAGATTCAGAGGGACTGGTAACTGTGATATATTTACACTCATTTGGTCTTTACTATTCATAGTTAGTCCCCTACTCTTTTATTTATGAACCAAGTAAAAACTAAATACAGTCAACCTACACATGTATTCTAATAACCTGAACTGGCCTCCAGTCTATAAATAAGATTCCTACATATAGCTATTACTACCAATAATAAATAAGCTTTGCTTCTAGTTATGAAATCACTTATGCATTAGTTAACACAAAATAAAAACTGTAGAGAAACATAATGAGCAACACTGAAAACAAACAAACAAACAAACCTTTCCAGCACAGAGAATATTAGAAGTATCCAAAGTCTCATCCAGTGGTCTCCAGTCTACTACCACTTCATTTTCCTACAATACAAATCACAAAAAATTCAACACTACACAGCAAAGTATTTATTGCCATATATAGTCATGGTGTGACTATGTTAAAACTTACATATACATATAAATGATGACAATGTCAAACACAATGTGATGTTCGTTCATGTACAAAATCCCACACTTTAAAAAGGCAATTAAAATTTGCCAAAATTGTTATGTGTTTTGCCAACAAATACACAAAAGTTCTGTAACTGTATTATGCAAATACCTTTTCTATGACACGCAGTATTCCTGCTATTAAGCTGTCCTGGTCATCATTTTTTCCACAGGAGGAGTGAATAAAAACTCCTTCTTGCTCATACACAACCTATAACAAAATGAGTAATGAAATTTAAAAAACAGTGCTTTAAAATCCTTAAAATTGTTTATCCCCCTATGGTACTTATTATCATTTTGACTCGCTGAGGGAAGTTGAAACAAACACTTCTATCTTGTTAGGGATTTTGTTACAAAGAGTCCAAGATCCAAGTCTTTCACTTACCTAAATCAAGAAACAATAGGAAATGGAACTGATCAAACTTATTCCCTAAGCAACTTACTGACTAGCACTACTTCGTTAAACACCACAAGAAAATGCATTCAATACCTAGTTATTTTTAAATCAGCAGGTACAGGTTCAGTGAAAGTCCTATACAGCTTTTAAAACATTAAAAGGCTTTCTTATATAGTCTGCCTTTCTGCCACCTGTCATTAGGCATGTTGAAATTATAAAACTAATTTAAATTTTAAATGGACTAAATACTGTAAAAATATGAACTCCAGAGAAATAAAAAACTATACCCTGAAATTAAATTCAGGACCAGTGGCAAAGATTCCATCTGAAAGGCAGAATATGTAAGAGTTGGATAAGAAGGGCTTGTAGGAGTGCACATGGCCCACATAACTTTTGCATTTAAGCATTTACAAAACCCTTCACAGTATTCTGATCCTTGGGGAAAAAAAAAAAAAAAAAAAAAAAAAAAAAAAAAAAAAAAAAAAAAAAATCAGAGAACCCTTGGCTGTCAAAATTTAGCAGGCTTTTCAAAGCTACATACAAATACTCTTAAAAGCTCTATAAATACTGTAAATGGGTCCTATTTTACACAGGTCTAAGAGTGAAAAGTCCCTTTGATTTTGTGAAAGTGAAATAAATCAAACAGTAACAGTAATTGTTTCAGAACCATTTTCATTTTCACACCAAGCTGCGAACACTGCCTTAAGAAACATTTTTAAAGGCAAAGCCTAGAAATTTTTAACTAATCAGAGACAGATAATGTATTTCTTTGGTTCTAAAATATCAGGAGCTATTTTTCTCATTTATCTGCTTTCTAAAATCATTACACTTGTAGTCAGGCCAGTAAACTAAAAGGTTAGTTTTGCCTGTCTGTTTCAAAAGGTTAGGTGTGTAAGCTTAACTAGCTAGATGAGAAAACATGGCTTAAAAAGAGCCATAAAATTCACTTAACTCATCCTTTCTGTTTTAGTTTTGCTTCAATTTCTCTGCCTTTTACAGGTGCAAGAAATTTCAGGAGTGTCCTCATTAAACAGAAATATCACTTGGAAGAAATCTCTAAAGGTCACTTAGCACATCTCCTGCTTGAAGGATTATTAAAATCATCGCCTTTCAAATACTGGAAGTCTTCTTTCCTGTTCCGTATTATATTTTTTTTTCTCTTTTCTATCAAAAAATATCCTCCCTCTATTTCTACCAATTATCTGTTTTCAAATTCAGTTCTGTTCAAACAAGGCAACTTTGACATTTATTTAAATTTTACCTTCTATCTCCTTGGACCTGATCTATCATGAAGACTAGTCAGAAATATGAATTAGTCATCAACCACTTGGACAGCTGCTCCAGAAAAAAAAGAAAATCTATTTGTATCAGAGTTATACTGGCAGAAGTGCACTTCCACCAAAAACGTTAGTATCATAAAGTATACCTTCTCAGTCTAGAAGGTAAGCCATCTAATAACTGTTTTTATTATTCTTCTGTCCATTAATCTCTCAGAATGATGAACACTTCCTTTCATGGGAAAAGAATATGTGTTTCTAATGCTACAGTTGTCACGCAACTGAAAAATCTTACACTGCTCTTTGTAACAGCTTCAGCTCCCAGTGCCATGCTCACCAAAAAACCAAAGCACATGCTCACAATTTCAGAGGGTGTCTGTAAAACAGAGGACTGGCACAAGTCATCTTATTCCCCTCATACTGTTATTTAAGAGAAAATCTTCTCCAAGTCTGAAAGGCCAGAAGGCCAAGCTGCTGAGATTTTTCTTTTCCAATCACAAGCGTGATCTATTTATTTACTTCTTCCAACTGTAAACTGCAACTGTAACTAATCTGAAGAAAGAGAACACTGATTGTACACAAGAGTATTTAGACGTTTTTCCACAGTTACTCCCTCTGCAAAACATTTTGGGAGTTACCATCTTGAATTCTTCAGAATACTGAGCCACTCTATTCAGCAGTACTTTGTAAGGTAACTCCATAAATGCATTTGAACAAACTGAGTTGGGAAATGTAATTCTATAGTGGTAGCACCTGAAAATTACCTACATTGAGTGGCTATATTTCACACAATGCTCTTAGCAAGCTGAAAATTCAAAAATGCTATTAGGTATTCTCACAGTACTTTACAGTAAAACATAGCTTGTTACAGATTTTTGTTTTCTGGTACTGCAACACTGACAAGCTATTCAAAATCAATTTAAAGATTAAAAGTAATGTTAAATTACATGTACGAGTAATTAGTAGTAAGGAAAGTATCAAACTGAAAGACAGTATACAATAGTTATATTTGAATAAAACCCCATCCTTCAGTAGACAACTCCTCTACACTTAGTAGCTCAATCTCACACACCATGTGGCCTACAAAGGTTTTTGCTCAGGGCCTCCACAGCCTCGGCAGCCCAACACTCAGGAAAACGCCGGGTGACTCAGCACACCTGGACCTCTTAAGCATTCTAGAAAACAGATTTCAAAACTAAGTAATGGCTTCACACACTGCCTCTTGCCTAAGCAGTAGGTTACTGCAGAACATGCAAAAAGGCAGCAAATGTTGGAGGATGACCTGAAGCATCAGTAAAATACCAAGGACTTGTTTGTAAGGTCTGCATGCGACAACTATGTAGTGAGATCCTGCTACACATAGAGAGAGTAAGGGAAGGAGATACAGGCAGGGCAAGATAATGAGAGTGACGCCCGCTCATTAGCTGTTGGAGGAACTACAACCCCTCCAAACCCAACCCAAATCTGCTTCTGTATTACTTGCACAGGAAAGCAACCTAATCTCCTCGAAATCTTGATAATCTTTAGCCTTTAGTGAACTAGGAAGGCCTCTACATTACTCACTATGTGAAAGAATTCAAGAGTTTTAAAGAATATTATCTGTTCAGTTAGTCCACTATGCTTTTTGTATTACAAGACAGGAAAACACACTACTGGCTCACCTTGGTTTTGTACTATTCATTATTTTACATGTTCATCATGGGCTCCTTTACAAAGGTAAGAAGTAGGTAGAGACAAGCTCAATCTTTCATTTTATTTTCATATGATTAGAGCCATCACTCTTCCCCTAAATCTAAACAAAATCAATAAGCTCATCATAAAAAAAAAAAGACAAGTTAATGTTAATTAGTACATACGACAGGTGACTAGGTAAGTTGACATGTTCCCAGAATTTTAATAAAATCCCAAAAGTATCCCTCACCGCAGTATAACAGCCCTTCCACCCATCCAGCTAATAAGAATTCTGTGTTCTGCACAGACAATCCACCGGTCTCTGAAACAGAACCTCAGGGAAGAAAAGCCGTTTGTGTTGCTCAGATGTTGCTTGAGGCCAAAACAGCTGTCCAGCAATGACAAGCCTCACTACAGATTTAAACTGCAATTGTTCTGTTTTCTTCTGTACCTGTTTGCAAACATCTACTGAACTGCCCACAGAGAAGCAAATGTCACAGGTTTAGATGTTATTACCTACATGAAAGCCAAATTCTGCTGGTTCCACAAAAAAAACACAAATGAAAAAAAAGAGTGTTTATCAAAAGCATACACCAACACAACCAAAGCAAATGAAGATGTAATGTGAGAGTATGAGAGGAGCTGAACAACTTAGAAAATAACTTGATTTCAAATAAATTTTAATTATATCTTGTGGCTGTACATTGGAATTACTGAAAGATTTTCAGACATTTTACTAGCTTAAAGCTAGTTCTGTGCAGAACAGATTTATCCATCCATGGTATCCTTAAGTTCCTAGAATACTTCAAATCATAAGCATTACTTAAGGCAACTTAAGACTGTAAATGCATTCAGCTGGCAACTTTTTTTTCTAAGAAAATGATGGAGACAGTAGGAAAAAATTTAGTATGATTTAAGCATTACTTTCAATTAATCCTAAAGTCTCAAGTTTGAAATAAGATGCACCTGAGAAGCTTATGCTCATAAGTCTTTCCTGCTTATCAAGTAGTCCATGGTGGCAGCGTACAAGTACAATTCACAGCATATTTATTTGTCCAGTTCTATAGAATGAAAACTAGACCCATTGCCTGTCTGTTTCAGAATCCCACCAAAAGCTAAAAGGTGATGCAAGTTTCGAAATGCTAGTGAGCCACTTTGACCTGTTTCTTTTTTTCCATGGATGCTACAGAGGTCAAAGGCAAATTCACAATTCATCTGATCAGTCATTGAAAGCACTGCATCACACAGAGACAACAGCTATTCCAACTCATATCCTGGCTGATGGTCTAAAAAAACAGGGAACCACAGCAGAAAATTCAGGAAAGCTGCACAAAGCAATAGCTGCCTACCCACCTACTATTAAAAAAAACAGATGGAAGCAGCAGGATGTAGGCTCAGTTTACATGTCATGGCATATGCTAGTTAAGGTTCTGGAAAACTCTTGAAGTATTTATAGTCTGTGTCCAGCAAAAAATAGGTTTCTGAAGTCCTACCATTGCCCCAGTAATATCTCCTGAGAAATAAATCGTATCATTCTTAATACCATAAGGACACAGCATGGACAATGCATATCTCCATATTTCTATTGTTCTGCTTACACTGAGCAGCAAACAGGCAATGTATGCAGCATTTTTATTGCTAAAAACATGTATGAGCAGAAGGCCTTTGGGATGCTACACCACCACCAACAGTATACTACAGAATACAAGCAAAGCTTGTGATTTAATGCTTGCCATTTGATAGCAATTTACAGCCCTGTGCTACCCGCTAGTGAAAGATGACAACATTGCACCCTAAGACAATGAAGTATAGACAACAAATAAAAGGAGAGCTAAGATCTGGGGCTACCACAGAACAGGATGGTCC